AAAAACGTGTAGATGTGGCACTTCGGGACACAGTTTGGTGGGCATGGTGGTGTTGGGTTGATGGTTGGACTTGATGATCTTATAGGTCTCTTCCAACCTAATGATTTTATGATTCTATAAGCAGTGGAAGGTGAAATGTGGCAGATTTTTCTCCGGAGCTTGATGTAGGAGCCAGAGGGGAGAGCTGCATCTGTGACACCAGTACTTACCTCTTTAGAGGAAGGCAGCTAAGAAAAAGTCGTATTTGCAAGTGCCTGGAAGACCTCCATTCCTACAGCTGTGAGTTCAGCTTGGGTGCTTTCTGGTTTGGGGCACTAGAAAAAAACCAGCACATCAACTGTAGAAGTGAAGGTTTCCTCAGAATGCAGGCAAACGGGAGATTCAGAAAGCAACTGCACCTCTTGAGTGGTTTGGGTGTTTGACTTCTTCACATCAAACCCTGATGCTGCTGGAAGAGTGGTGTCTGTGAGGCCAGGACTGTCTCACCAGGTGTCTGTAAAGTGGTTTCTAAGAGAACCACACGAGTTTATTGTGCTTGTCTTAGATATGGAGGAATGGAGGAGTTTGCACCATCCCTTGAGACTCTGCGGGATGATGCTTTGGAAAAGTTTCTGGGGATCTTGAACCTTACTGTACCTGTGCTTTGGTGTCTCCAAAAGTCTTTACTTGCTTCTGAGTGGCCCCAGGTATTATATTGCCTGCTTGGTTACCTAACGTGCCTGTGAATATGTTTTTTCTAAAAGGGTACATGTGAGGGAAAAAGAAATATTTAAACACTCCATGTCTTCACCAAAATGAGCTGCCAGAAGTGGCTGCTTCTTCCCAGCTTGTGTGCCTCTTGTTGGTTGTCCACTCAACCCACACTTGTCCTTTTGAGTGTTGCAAGGTGGCAGGAGCGAAACCAGTGAGAGGAAGAGATGCTGCGAAGCCTGGGAGGAAGGTGTTCAAATGGAGTCCAGTGCTTGATGGACTCATCTGCTGTCACCCTGTTCTGGGAAGTGGAAGTGTGCTGAGGACAAACAGTGCCTGTGCCTCCATCAGCTGCCTGTGGCCTGAATGGTCAGGAGTCCTGTTTTTACTGAAACTGGACCTGAAATGTGGTGTGTGGAGCAGTAGTGCCCTCAGTTGGGGAATCCCTCGCTCTGTGACCTGCTGTGGTGGTTTCCACCCAATCTCTTCACGTCCTTTTCCTTCCCTCTCTCTTTGCAGCACCTTTCCCGCCCTCTAGCTCGTCATTTTTGCTACACATTTTTGCATGTGTTGTGTTTCTTCTCCCACCACATGTGACACTTGACCAGCTAATGTTTAAGCTTCCTGGTGTAGGGACCACAGGCACAACTGTTGTGATGAAACCTATTTCTTATTCCAGAAGCACGCATGGGCTTATGGCACATTTAAAAGGTAGCGGTGAGCAGTAGAGGAAAGCCTTTGGTTTACATAAAACCCCGAAGAAGCACAGGGATCTCCGAACACGCACATGCAGACCCAGAGATTTGCACAAAAATGCTCTTTTTTTTTTGTCTTTACCCCTGGATGACACTTCAAGACCGTGCACAAAGCTCTTGTGAGGCTTCATCAGCAAGTGGGGTTTGATGGCTCTGCCGATGAGCATGCCTCGCTCTGCACAGGGGAACACAACTGTGTTCGTTTAAACCTGTTGAAATGAACCGAGGTGGAGGACAAGCCCCCGGCTCACCCCCCTGTCAAGCTGGGGAGGGACTTAATCTCTGCAGCAGCTGGAGAGAAGGTGAGGGTTTGCACCACCGCATGGGAGTGGGAAGTCCCAGGTTCATCCCATATGACTTCTGGCTCTGAATTTGGCGCGCTGATGTTCAGGAGAGGAGAGCGGAGAAGCACCTCCAGGAGGCAGCGCAGGTTTCGGGTAGGTCTGGCTGCTCTCTGGAGCATAGGGAGGGAAACTGGGCAAGTAAACATCTCCACTGAGCATCTCACTGAGTGTCTTGATGTTCTGAGAGGTGAATGGGGGCCCGTGGACTACTCTGGAGTCCCAGGCATTTTGTACTGGCTTTTCTAGACGTGTGGACAAGGCTGTTATTTTATACGTGTCTGCCAGATGTGCTGCTCTGTAGGTGGGAAAGATTTGGTTTAGAAGCAAAATAAACAAGAGCATGAATTGAATGTCCAGCACAGCACTTACCTTTTAAGATGGACCACATTGTAGGATTCAGGATGCGTGTGTATAGATATTCTTCTACTCTGTTGTGCTTGAGTGTGTATATTCCTTAATATCCATCCCAGACAAGCGTTCCTACTTCAGCCCAAGTCAGTGCTGTTCCTCAGCCGGGGAGGTTTCGGTAAGCTGTACCTTCCATTGTACAGATAAAAAAAATAACCTGCAGAACTCAGTTCTTTTTTCCACCCTAGCACAAGTGTTGATCACTAGACATTGTGTAGCCTTTCATTTTACAATATATTGTGTATTTTTCTTTGTTTAACTGTAGTTTAGTAAAAAAGCTTAGCTATGCCTCTTGAAACTGGGTGGATAATCTGATTGCAGTGACTATTCCCGTGTGCTTCAGCATCTCTGTTGAGAGTAAAGCCGCTGAGGTCAGATCCCAGCTTTCCTGCTCCCTTCCCCACTCTGGGAGGGCACGAGGGGGATGCTTTCAATTCTGTCACAGAAGTAGTGGGTGGCTTTGGGCAGGGATGCTGCATCGCTGTGGCCACACCATGCCGGCTCTGCTGGGGCCTGGGAAATGCTGCACGCCTGCAGAGCTGGGGTGGACGTGCAGGCTGTCCCCAGCAGCCACGGCTCCCCCACATGTCGTCATCTCCCTACCAGGTCTCGCCGATGCTGCTCTCGTCATCTGTCTGGCCCTACTAACGTGTTTCTCCTCTGTGTCTCAGCTATACCCTGGATAACGATGTCCTCACCACAGAGCAAAGGCAGTTCTATGAAGACAATGGGTATCTGCTCATTAAGAAGCTCGTTTCTGATGAAGACATTGAGCGCTTCAGGTACAAGGCACTTGCCTAAAGTGCTCGGGGAGCTCGAGGGAGCTCGGGGAAGCTGGATGAAGGTGGGCTCTCCCAACACGGATGTTCCCTCTGCTTTGCAGAAAGGAGTTCGTAAGGATCTGTAAAAAAGAGGTGACTCTACCAGGAGCTATGATTATGAAAGATGAGTCCCTGAGATCCCAGTATGGTCAGTCTGAAAAAGTAGTTAATAAAGTGCAGGACTTCCAGGAAGATGAAGAGCTGTTCAGATACTGTACTCTGCCAGAGGTAAAATTAAAACAAACAAATAAACAAACAAAAACACCCGCCCCACAAAAAAAAAAACAAACCAAAAAACCACAAAACCCCCCCTAAAACCTCCCCAAAAACAAAAAAAAAAAAGGGGGGGATGGTGGTGGAGGAGCCTGTATGAATGTGTCTGTGTTTAAATGCCTCTGCAAAGAAGCTTTTTTTTGTTCCGCTGAAGTTATATCCTTTATCTCTTAGAGCCCCCCTACCTCACTCCCATAAGTACATCTGCGAGGAAGGACTATCGAGCCATCTTTTAAGAGTGTTCTGCACGAACACAGGATGGCTGGTGGTCAGGGCAGAGGACTTCAGGCAGTGCTACTCTGCGCCCGTGGTGCAGAGCCAGTCAGGAATGCGGCTAGCCCAAACCGTGACGGGCTAGTGGGACAGACCAGCAGCATTTGCTGCATGTCTTTTACCCAGCAAAAGCATGTGCTGTCCGGGCAGGTCCAGCTTTGTAGCCAGTATTCATGTGGTGGCAGACAGCCATAGCTTTGTGGAAGTGTGACCTTCCCCATCTTTTCAACCCCACCCAGCAGCCCGCTGCACCACCTTCCATCCTGGCCTCCTACCACCATGCCCATCTGTGTGACGTGCCAGATCCTGCCTCCTGTCCTGCATTCCTCCATCCCCACCTCCTCCTCCTCCTGCACCCTAGTCCTCAGCCAAACATCCAGATCCCAGTGCTTCCTCAGCAACCTTGCCTCTTGTCTTTCATGTTTCTAATCTTTTTTTCTAACGTTTTCTTCCCCGTAGGTCCTCAGATATGCTGAGTGCTTCACAGGGCCAAACATCATGGCAATGCACACCATGCTGATAAATAAACTTCCAGATTCTGGTAAGGAAAACTTGGATAAGAGGAAAACAGTGAAATTGTTGCGTGTAGGCTGTCTGTCTGGCCAAAATTGAACTCAGTGTTTTAGAAAAGCTCTTTGAAAACAAAACGGGACAGATTAGAATGAAGTAACTTTGAAAATTTACGAGGCCACTTTGGTAACAGTTTGTTTTCTTTTCACCTTAGCTTAATGAGATAACATTTCTTGTCTTTCAATCTTCAGTGGATGTTTGTTTGATAAAGATGGTGGTTGTCTTGGCTGCACCACTCACGTGTTCAAAGTGGGCAAGCGAGCTCCCTGTTCAGCCAGCTGCCCTGGCATAAAGGCCCAGGGTTTAAAACATAACATGATTTTTAAGCTTGACTTTTCAAACGTGTTGAAAATAAGTGTTTCTGTGGACGTTGGTAAAAAGTCAGTAAATACAGAGATCGTCCTTTGCTTGGAGTGTGTATGCTCCTGACCTCGCTGACAGTTGTCGCATGCTCAGCGCTTTGATATGAAGATACTTGAACAGGTGCCAAAAGAAGGATTTTGAAGCCTGGCTTTGGCTCCTGCTGCTGCAAATTGAGATAATAATTTATATAAGCGGGGGGCAGGAAGAGAGAAAGAGCACCAGGCTGATCATATTACAGTTTTTCAAAGTAGCTTTGACTCTGCATAAGCTGTTTCAGTTTAGCAAAGTTGAGACCTGGGCTACATTTCTCATTCTCAGGTGTGCAGCTTCTGAGCAGATACATAGTACACTGAGTTATTAAAATACTGGGTTTGTTCAAGTCATCTCCAGTTGTCATCTTAAATGCTCCACAGAAAGCTGTGCTATTTCCGTTTGGAAATGCAACAGGAGACCAGACATTTTTTAAAGCAAAACCAAAATGATAATGGACAAGAAATGGGAAACTGCTCCGTATTTGCAAGGTCTGCATTCAGTATCCTGGAGGAGACACGCATATCTCAGGAGAGTTTTCAAGGCTGCCCAGATTCTAAATAATATGGCAAATGAGGCAAATGGAAACATCGTAACTGTATCTGTCTGAGGGGCAAACTCAATGGCAAAATAAATATATAAATAGTATATAAAAGACTGTTTCGCTGTGGATGTTTTAACTTCCATAGTGAGAAAAGAAGTGACAAACAAAACTTCAGAAATATTAATTTAGACTTCGTGGAAAAAAAGCCTCTAAGGCAAAGACGAATAGTGTGCTGGGTAGACTGTCTGGGGAGGCTGCAGTCCATAAATTGAGATTTTATTTATTTTTATTTTTAAAAGAAGGCTGAATAGACATGTGTTGGGTGCAGCACAGGCAGGGTTGATTCTGCTCGCCACACAGCCATAGATCAGGTGACTGCAGACAGCACGGCTCTTCGATCGTCTTCGTACTGGGCAAGGTTTGTGCAACACCGTGCTGGTTAAAGTTCACAGATGTGGAGAGCGCCCAAGTGGACGGTGAAAACTTGGCAGGGCCAAGCAAAAGGATCCCCCTTCGGAGGGATCTCACTTCGGAGGGATCACACAGCCAGGCAGCCTCCTGGCATTCACTGTGTCCTTGTGCCATTGCTGACCCAAGAGCCACCACTGTGTTCTTGGTCGCTCTGGGGACGGGCTGTAAGCCAGCTCCTTTGGCTTCCAAGGCAGTGTGAGGCTGGAGCAGACACTGAGTACACCACGTCTCTCCAGCAGCAAGCAGCAGCTTCTCAGGAGATGTTACCAGTGCAGTGATTTAACGGGAAGGAAAAGGCCATGTCACGTTCGATGAGGTTGAAGGTTTTGAACCTGTGTTGCAGATAAACAGACTTTTCTCCACCCCATGCATCAGGACTTGCACTATTTTCCCTTCCGGCCTGCGGACCGCATCGTGTGCTCCTGGACCGCCATGGAGAGGGCTGACCAGGACAACGGGTGCCTGGTCGTGCAGCCAGGGACGCACAAGTTGCCCCTGAAGCCTCACGGCTATCCATACTGGGAGGTAGAGTGGCATGGGGGGGGGTTGGGGAGGGCACATTTTGGCTGGGGAGGGCTCACATGGAGGGTTGATGCACAGGTCAAAGGTGAGGTTTTCAGGGGTGTTTTTTCTGTCTATGAAAACACTGGCTTGTTTCTTCGGGAGAGAGTTGCTTGGTTGGCCTCGCTCCGTGTAACCTGGGTAGATTTGCTTCTGTTCCCACCTTCACCTAGAAACTGTCCAGCATGTTGTGGCGTAATGACACAAAGACACGGAACCGTTTTCCACTGCCCTTGCCAAGCCTGAGTTCTCTTTCTCCTCCTGCGAATTTGTTCCTGCCTGGTGAGCATGTGTATTGCCCAGAAGAGGAGAAATTGGATAGTAAACAACTGGATGCAGTTAAATAACAAGTGGTATCTTCCTCTTAAGAGCAGATGTTTCCTGACCAGGCATTGGTGATGGTGCAATGGGAGCAGAAGGCTGGACCCCAGCAGTGGGTGGCATCAGGCCAGACTTGTGGGATTCCCCGCTGCTCTACTCTGTTCTCTTCAGCCGAGAAATATTCTTAATTGTCTGAATCCAGCTTCAGGAAATAGAAAAAGTATTATTTTGCTGTACCTCAGACTTGAAGTAGGAAGACTTGTAGGCAAGTGGGCAGGCTCTTAGTTGGGCATACCAACACACTGCCCAGAGGAAAGCAGATCAGTAGCCTGTCCCTTGCACTGAGAATCCACACTTGCTTTAATTTTAACAGAGTGATTTCAACTAAGCCTTTTTATCTAGGGTAAAACCAACAAACTTTTCCATGGGCTGATTGATGAGGATCAGAAGAGTCCCAGGGTTCACCTTGTCATGGAGAAGGGAGACACGGTTTTCTTCCATCCCCTGCTCATTCATGGCTCTGGGATAAACAAGACATCAGGTTTCCGAAAGGTAGGAAACCGTCTCTTGATAGAGCTTGTCATGGTTTTGATTTTTTTTTTTTTAAACTGATGCAACTATCCCCACCTTTCTAAGCTCATGAATATGTGCATGAACTTTTTAATGAGTTTTTAGTTTCCTAACATACTCTTGCACTCTCTTTTATTTTCTATTTCTAAACATCTCTGTCTTCTGGGAGAAGAACATGCTGTGGGGCTGCTAGAGAAAAACAGAGCAGGAGTAGAAACTAGATGTTGAATCTATGTTTGAAGCCTGGCTGGCTGTACTGGCCTTTCCAAAAGTTCCCTTTCAGCTGCCTCAAATATCAGGAGCTTCTCTAACTTTATTCCCGCTGCCTTCTTGGTATCTTATCTCTGGATAGCAGGAGCCTCCATCATCCAATAAATAGTATTTATTTATAAGATAACACAATCCATTTTTCTATTAAAAGACTTGATTGTGCATCATTCAATCATTATGCATCATGATGCATCATTTCAATCAACCAATCATTTACCAGCAGTCCTGGCTAACAGGGGAGGTCCCAGTTGACTGGAAGTTAGGAAATGTGACACCCATCTACAAAAAGGGCCAGAAGGAGGATCCAGGGAACTACAGGCCTGTCAGCCTGACCTTGGTCCCGCGGAAGGTTATGGAGCAGATCATCGAGTGCCATCACGGGCCATGTACAGGACAAGCAGGTGATCAGACCCAGTCAGCATGGGTATATGAAAGGCAGGTCCTGCTTGATTAACCTGATCTCCTTCTATGACCAAGTGACCCACCTAGTGGATGAGGGAAAGGCTGTGGATGTTGCTTACCTAGATTTTAGTAAAGGCTTTGACATGGTTTCCCACAACATTCTCCTGGAGAAACCGGCTGCTCACAGCTGGGACGGGTGTACTCTGTGCTGGGTAAAAAAC